ACACACACACACACACACACACACACACACACACACACACACACACACACACACACACACACACACACACACACACACACCAGTCTGAGGCAAGGTCAGCTGGCCTGCTCGGTTAAAACAGCACTAACACAGTAAAACACGCTGCTCGTTATCAGTCACTAACCCAGCGCCGTCGTGTGTGTCTGTCAGCGGCTGTATGATGATAAAGTGTAATTCACCTGATTAGCAGCTAATCCTCCATCATGACAAACACTAGCGCCTCTGCTTTCAATAATACTCACATTTATGACCGCTTCAGATGATCTGAGCGCGTCTGTCAGTCGCTGATGGAGGGACGCTGTGTGTTTGAGTCCTGCAGCATGACCACACAAACACACACTGCTGGTTCTGTCAACTAATTCACCAGGATTTGCACACGTTGATGATTTTTGTTTTTTTATCAAACCCGACACGGTCAGCAGAGTGTGAAGCAAGAGGAAATGACAACAGATCAGACGGGCCTCCGACCGGATGTACCACTTCAAAATTAAAGTCTCAACTTGACTTTTCTTTTCCCGGTATGTATTAATACTAAAAACGCATAGATTCTCTCTACAAATACACATATGCAACTACATTTGTAAACAAATCATAATTATTAAATTATGGATCATTCAGATTACAGTGAAATGTTACATTGCCTTTATGTAATAACATACACAAACAACAGAGGGACATTTACAAAATTATGTTGGGTCACATATGGAAGCTATGTGTACTAATACAAATTATTTTTTTAAATATTAAACAGTCAACTAAATGCGGGGGAAAAATCGATTACATGAGATGTCAGATGAACGTACAATCTCTCGTGAAATATTCATGCATTTATTAAATCGTTAACATCAGTTAAATCACTGATAAATATTTAAATATATTTTAAATGTTATTATTATTATTATTATTAAAAATGTATTTATTTGATTGTTTTTAATTGTGTATCTGTGTGCTGATATTTCCGGTATAACTGTTAAACAATAAATTACTGTATTTGATATCATGTTCCAAATATTTCATGTGAAAAATATAGCCTTGTTGTTTTTTTAAATAATATTAAGGTTGCTGTTGTTGTTGTTATTCTTCTTATTATTATTGATTGATTTTTGAAATTGTCTTAAAATTACCTGCTCCACAGACACACAGCTCCTCAGGTGAGTGCAGCGAACACCTTCACAACATTTATACAACTCTCTTTATCAGCTACTGCTCTTACAGGGCCTAAACAATGTGTCCTTATAATTTAGCACTATGCTAAACTAATATTTCTCGATTTTGTAGTAATAATAATTGTAAAATATGTAAGTGTCGTTTATTATTATTATGTTTACGTTCTTTGCTATGCTATTTGCCTAATACGTGAAACTTTTTTTAAGTGTGAATGTGTTTCAGTGTTTATTTAATTAATAGTTTTTTTTATATTGAACAATATTATTCATTACATTATTTAGTTATTAAACAATTAAGTATATGTATTAGTATGTTCTAAATGTTGTTATCGGTTTACCAAAATGCAAAAAAAATCCATGTTTTGGAGCATTTGTCTTCTATTTGTGTATGAATTATTATGAGAGACGTGTGCATTGTAAAGCATGCTTTGGTGTGAAGGTGAAAGAGCCTGTGTGTTGCAGAGGGGTCAGGATGCCGGAGGTGAACACGGATCATCTGGATGAGAAGCAGGTGCAGTTGCTTGCAGAGATGTGCATCCTCATCGACGACAATGACCGGAAGATTGGAGCTGACAGCAAGAAAAACTGCCATCTCAACTCAAATATTGAGAAAGGTGCATGATATTTTACTGTTGATTATAATGCATGTGCATGTTAACAAACTTTACTATTTATTTATTTAGTATTGAATATATAAAGTCATCAATTAGATGATGTCCCTGCTTCCTCACTGACAGGATTATTGCACCGAGCATTCAGTGTTTTCCTGTTTAACAGCGAGGAAAAGCTGCTCCTTCAGCAGAGATCCAATGCCAAAATCACCTTTCCAGGTGTGTCACATAATGTTATTTATATACTATTTATTCCTGTTTTTAAAGGGGTCATATGATGCGATTTCAATTGTTCCTTTCTCTTTGGAGTGTTACAAGCTCTTGGTGCATAAAGAAGATCTGTAAAGTTGCAAAGACTAAAGTCTCAAATCCAAAGAGATATTCTTTATAAAAGTTAAGAGTCAGCCACGCCTACCTAAAACGGCTCCTTCGAACACGCCCCCACATATCTACATCACTATGTGGGAAGATTTGCATAACGCCGCCCAAATGTTCACGCAAAGAAAGAAGGCGTAACTTTTATTCTCGCTGTAGTATAGTTACCACAGTATGGTGAGGGGCGTAACATTTCAGTCACACGCTTGAGGTATCCGGCCAATCACAACGCACTCGATCGCTGGCCAATCAGAGCACACCTCGCTTTTTCAGACCGATGAGCTTTGTAAAAATCGACGCGTTTCAGAAAGGCGGGGCATAGAGGAGAAGCAATAATGTACAGTATGTGGAAAATAATGTGTTTTTTGAACCTTAAACCGCATAAACACATTTCATTACACCAAATACACAAAACAATGTTCTTTTTAGCAACCTCATATGACCCCTTTAATTATCTATTAGTATTAACTGTTATATTTTCTGGTTTAATCTTTAGTATGTGCTTTTGTCAGTATTTCTATCTAAACAAATGTATTTATATTGTCGTTGTAGTCATTTTAATGTTTTGGGCAACATTTCCAAAGTTTTTCATCTAATATTTATATTTACTTGTATCTCAGCTTTGCTTCAGTTACCAAAACCGATTTTCTAGTTTTCGTTTTAGTTCGCGTGAACAACACTGGATGCTTTTTCTCATTTCCTAATTCTTTGCAGATCTCAAATACTCATTTTGTAAGGGGGGGGGGTTTCTTCATAAATGTGTGATTACATGGCAGACTGTTGAGGAAGACACTGAGGGCCAGATTTAGTACCAGCTTAGACCAGCACAACCCCTCTTTTGGCATAAAAAAATCTACTTTCAAGACACACAGTAACACTGAGCGATGAAAAGACATTTTTGTTTTTGTGGCTGGCCTTATTGGCCCTATGTGCATTTGTAGGAGTTTCCACTCACATCTGTACTTTCATGGGACTGCGGTTTAATGCTAAATTGCCCTGTTTAGTAAATCTGACCCCAAGTACTCGCTCTCTGTTCCATCAAACCGTTGGTTTTCACTTAGACATGGCACAAAATGGCTTAATAGCCTAAGCCTCGCTATTATAAAATGTTGGCGATATGCCAAAAACACCAATGTTCAATACATTTCTCAATGTGTATATATAATTATCACAATAACTAATTTGTCCAACAAGTAATATGCTGTAGGTATCTGGTCTTTCTGATATAGAATACGGAGAGGTGAGCATAAATTAAATATGGCTCATCCGATCGGATTTTTATGGAAGCCCGTTTCCGCCACTGAAAAAAAAGGTAATTGTGACTTTTTATCTCACAATTCTGACTTTTTTTTCACAGAATTGTGAGATATAAACTCACAATTGCGAGTTAAAGTCCAATTTTGAGGGGGGGAAAAAGACTGATATGTTCTCAGAATTGCGAATTTATCTCACAATTCGGAGAAAAAAATTGTGAGAGAGAAAGTCGCAATTACCTCTTTTAATTTTTAGGAAACGGGACTGTAGTTATTCTTTTTCAAATGTTGTCACAAGCTGAAATCAAGTTTAGCTTGTTTGATATGCTTTTCCAGGCTGTTTTACCAACACTTGCTGCAGTCACCCTCTCCACACCGCCAGTGAACTGGAGGAGCAGGACGCCATCGGGGTCCGCCGCGCCGCACAGAGACGCCTGCAAGCCGAGCTCGGCGTTCCCACCGATCAGGTACTGAGACCAGTGAAGGTGAAATGAAGCCTCGTGAAGCAGAGTCTTAAAGCAAGCAGAAAGTCTTCAATTCATAGTCATGGCATTAAATCGTGTGTGTATTGCTGAAAAATGTCGTCTTTTCCATCATAAACTCACTCAGAAAACAAGATTCCTTATCTTCTATCAGTTTGATTCTCGAGTAAATGTATCTTGACTTAAGAATCTTTAAACATGCACTGGAAAATGACAAAAATGCAGAGGAAGAACTGCACGTTTTTTTTTACAGTGTGATCAGAAGTACAGTAAAAGTAGTGCTGGGCGGTATACCGGTCCATACCGAATACCGGTGTTTATTTTTGTTATGATATGAATTTTTAAAATACCGCAATACCGGTGTATGTCGCTTAAACAACGTTGGGAACGCGACACTGTTTGAAAGGGGTCCCTTTTCACTGTTGCACTGTGGTGAGGGAACAGCTGTATGTGTTACTAAGCGTGAAAGTTCAGAAACTGAAGCTGTAGAACTAATAGAACGTGATGACACAGAAGAGCTCATCCACAATATCCACACTGACCTCCACAAATATCCAGCGCCCGCTGCCATCAGCGCCCGCGTCTCACACACACAAGCGAGACTTTAGCACTAGATTTAGCAACTTTCAGACCCTTTTAGTGGCTTTTTTCCAGAGAATATTCATACTGACAAACATAGCGACTTTTTTGGATAAAGCTTAGCTATGGTTCAGTTGGAAGATTTCTCCAGTGCTGTCCCGCGAACGCGAGGTCTGACTTTCCCGGAGAAGTGTCGCCTCTCTCGGCGTGTGTTCTGTGCAGTGAGCGGCAGAGAAGCACCGCAGCCGACTCCTCAATAAATGAGTACAACACAGCGTTTCCTAGCACCTGTCGCTTACTGATTGTTTGGAATTATAAATATGAGCATAGCTTGTCTGTTAATATCACATGCACTTTTTTGTTTGTTGGTTTTTTTTAGTTTGTTACGCAGGCAGTGTGCTGCATGAGACAAAAAAGTAATATAGCCAAAACCACCGCATAGCCGCTCTTTAGTGTAGATGCATGTTGATTTTATCAGATGATGGCGTGATTATAAATGAGAGTGACTCCTGGTTAACATGTATTAAAATGGGTCGTGTTTAGTCACTATTTAGTGTGGTATTTTTTGACAGTATTCACTCATCATGACAGTAAAATAGGTCATTCTAAGTCAATATACTGCAGTATTTCCTCTCTCAATCAGTAGAAAATCTGGTTAACACCCGGTCATGCATGAAAAAATAATACCTTCATGTACCGTGAAACCGGTATGATTTTGAAAAATACCGTGATATAAATTTTTGGTCATACCGCCCAGCACTAAGTAAAAGTTATTTCTGTGTTCCACAGGGTTTCTGCGGATCTTAAAAAGTCTCGATTTCCTTTTCCACAAATGAAGGCCTTAAAAAGTCTTCCATCAGTGCAGAGAGTCTTCAAATCAAAAAGTCATGGCATTAAATCTTGCATGCATTACTAAAATCTGAATATCTTTCTAAGTATTGTTGTCTTGTTTTCCGATACAAATATCTAAATTTAGATAGTTGAACTCTTGTTTTATTTTTTTGAGATACTGAAGAAAAATAATCCTAGTTAACGAACAAATATCTGCCGATGAGGAATGAAAACGTGTTTTCCCTTTGAATTAAGTTGATATTTATTTTTCTTTTAATTTCTCGCGTCATTTTGATTAATTTCTCAGAAAAGAAGACTTATTATCTTTAGTCATTTGCAAGATAAAAATACTAATTTTTTTGCAATGTGATCAGATGTACAGTAATAGTTTTAAAAAGGAATTAAAAAGTAATGAAGATCTGTTAGAAGTTGTATTTTTAATAATACAACTCATTGTCTCTTCCCTAGACATTTACACTACCGCTCAAAAGTTTGGGATCAGTAAGACTTGTAATGTTTTTTTAAAGAAGTCTCTTCTGCTCATCAAGGCTGCATTTATTTGATCAAAAATACAGAAAAAAACAGTAATCTTGCGAAATGTTATTACAATATAAAATAATGGTTTCTATTTTAATATCCTTTAAAATATAATTTATTTCTGTGACACAAAGCTGAATTTCCATCAGCCATTACTCCAGTATAAAGTGTCACGTGATCCTTAAGAAATCATTCTAATATGCTGATTTATTATTATAATTATCAATTCTGTATTCAAATATTTTTGGGGGAAACTGCGGTACATTTTTCAGGATTCTTTGATGAATAAAAAGTTAAAAAGAACAGCATTTATTCAAAATAGAAATCTTTTCTAACAATATAAATATTTGCTGTCACTTCTTATCAATTTAACACATCCTTGCTGAATAAAAGTTTTATTTTCTTTCAAAAAAAGAAATAATAAAAATGTACTGACCCCAAACTTTTCAACTGTAGTGTATATTGTTAGAAAAGGTTTCTATTTTAAATAAATGCTCTTCTTTTTAACTTTTTATTCATCAAAGCATCCTGAAAAAAAAGTATCACAGGTTCCAAAAAAATATTAAGCTGCACAACAGTTTCCAGCACTGATAATAAATCAGCATATTATACTGATTTCTGAAGATCATGTGACACTGAAGACTGCAGTAATGATGCTGAAAATATAGCGGCGCATCACAGGAATCAATTAGATTTTAATGTATATTAAAATAGAAAAACGTTATTTTACATCATAATAATATTTCACAGTATTAAATTTTTTCCTGTATTTTTGATCAAATAAATGCAGCCTTGCTGAGCATAAGAAACTCCTGTAAAAAATATAAAAAATCGTTCTGATCCCAAACATTTGACCGGTAGTGTAATGAAGAGAACATATTGACGTCGTGTTCCATTCCTTTCCATTTATTCCTTACATTTTCTTAACTTAGTCTTTAAAGGGTTTTTAAAAAAGTCTCAAATTTACCTTCGTAAGACCTGCAGAAACCCTGTACTAAAAAATGTGTGTCGCATTATTTATGGCTTCAGAAATCTAGATGTTCAGGGCTAACCTGCTGCTTGTCCCAGGTGCCTCCAGAAGAGATGACCTACCTGACCCGCATCCACTACAAAGCCCAGTCAGACGGCGTCTGGGGCGAGCACGAGATCGACTACATCCTCTTCATGCAGAAAGACGTGGATCTGAATCCAGACCCCAACGAGATCCAGAGCCACTGCTACGTGTCCAAAGAGGAGCTGAAGGAGATCCTGGAGAAAGCCAAGAAGAAAGAGCTGGAGATCACGCCCTGGTTCAGCCTGATCGCAGAAACCTTCCTCTTCAAGTGGTGGGACAACCTCCATAACCTCAAACAGTTCATCAACCACGACGGGATCCACCGCATGTAAGCCACATCTGGAAAGGACTCGTTACTAACGGACACTTTAACGGTTAATAAATGTTGGGACAAGCGGAGCGTTTTATTTAGCATTAAAGCTCTGATTTGAAGATTAGAACTTTAAGCAACTTTTCAAACTGCTGCAGGAGCACTGAGCATTCGCTGTCTGTCTGTCAGAGGATTGTGTGAAGTGCCTAGTTTCATACGAAATACTGTTCTGTGTAGATAAAACTATCAGGACTCATTTTGAGGTTTCCAGTTATGTAAAGTAATTATTAAAGAAGTCAAATAAAATGTGGTCTTGTTCATTTGAACCCATTCATTTCACAATTTTTAGAAAATGAATATGGAAAATTATGATCTATTCATCCCTAAGGTTTTCCTCTCAATAATACATTTTAATTACAAAATCTAGTGTGGAAATATATACTTATATGCATACTAATGTTTCAACATTTGGGCTCAGTATGATAGACATGTTTTTTTTAAAGAAGCTCACTATCTCTGATTTGATCAAAAATGCTGTAAAATCAACAATATTGTGGAATTGTATTGCATTATTACAATTTCAAATAACTGTTCACTATTTGAATATATTGTAATATGTAATTAATTCCTGTGATCAAAGCTGTATTTTCAGCATCATTACTTCAGTCTTCAGCGTCACATGATCTTCAGAAATCAGTATAATATGCTGATTTGCTGCTCAAGAGACATTTCTGATTATCATCAATGTTAAAATCAGTTGTGTGTCACGAAACGGTGATATATTTTCAGGATTTGAATATGAATAGAAAGTTCAAAAGAACAGCATGTATTTAAAAAAAATGAATGAAAAAAAAATAAAGAATTTACTCTCACTTTCAATAAATTTGCTGAATAAAAGTATTAATTTTCTTGTTTTTTTACATTTTTTGCATGTTTCTCACACTTAAAAGATTAAGATCATTAAACCAATTTTAATATTACACAAAGATAATGCAAGTAAATACAAAATACAGTTTTTAAATGATGATTTCATTTATTAAGGGAAAAAAGCTGTCCAAACCTACGTGGCCCTACGTGAAAAATGAATTGCCCCCTCCTGTTAAATCATGAAAGAGCTGATTAAACACATTATTTTAGAAAGCTGAGTTAAATTTCACTAGCCACACCCAGACCTGATTACTGCCAGACCTGTTGAATCAAGAAATCACTTAAATAGAACCTATCTGACAAAGTGAAGCATGCTTAAAGAGCAACACATCATGCCACGATCTAAAGAAATTCAAGAACAGATGAGAATCAAAACCGTTGACATGTATCAGTCTGGAAAGGGTTATGAAGCCATTTCTAAGGCTTTGGGACTCCAGCGAACCACGGT